TTATGGACTTCCAGCTTCCAGAGCGCGAGAGGGTAAGTTCCTTTTGTTTAAAGCCACCTAGTTTGTGATCATCTGCTGTAGCAGCTGTGGGAAACAATACAGGTTGTAAAAAGAAGTGATTTCATGTATCAAAGGAAGGAAGACACAGACCCAGAGCTCCAGCCCACGTTCTGGTGGTCTGTACCCCTCGTGCCTCGGTTTCCCTGAATGGTCCAGCCCGCCCACCGCCTGCCTTCGTCACTGGTGTCCCTCCCGTCTTCCCAGGAAGCAGCTGGGGTCCCCCAGTTGTCCCTGAGGGTCTCTGCGTGACAAAGTGGAGACAGGGAGTTTCTATGCTGATGACCCCGAGGCTCTGGACACACTGACTTCTCTCTATGGGTCGGGTTGGCTTTCAGAGACTGTGACACATGGGGACCGGTCAGTTTTGTTTCTAAGATCCAAAAATGGTCACAGTTTTTAAGTTCTATTTAAGTTTTAATGTTTTCTCTGTAGTAAAATAATAATTTTAATATACGGTTGTTTGTAAGTTTTTTATTGTTTCTCAATAAAATGTTGACAACTTGGGGCACCTGGGTGGCTCGGTCAGTTGAACATTGACTCTTGATCTCAGCTCAGGTCTTGATCTCAGGGTCGTGAGTTTGAGCCCCACATCAGGCTCCTCGCTGGGCATGCAGCCTGCTTAAAAAAAAAAAAAAAAATGGTGACAACACAAAGCTAACCACTTGGCGCAAAGTAAATCTACCAAATCTACCCTCAACCCAGTGTCTTCCGTCCTGGACCTCGGGCTCTGGTCCAGCCTGGGCACCCGGATCCTCCGATCCTCGGGTATTTCCAGCATTTTCTGCAAGCATTTCTGAGGCACCAACTCAAGAGGCTTCCTTTTCTCCTTCTTCACTGAAATGGCCAGCACTGCGTAGAGGAAACCCGACATTTGCGTCGAGTTTCCTTCTAAGAGCAGCTTGCACGACTTTTGGCAGGGCATCTGTTTGGGTTCACTTTCTCCTCATGTGAAATGGGGGAAGATAGTACCTTCCTCATTGAGCGAGACAGCATTAGGTGTTGGTTCCCCCCTTGGCTTGGCAGTTGGGCAATGGACGGTGGGGGACACAGCCCATGGCGTCAGGGCTCCGACCTCGGCTTCCCTCTCCACTGGCTTAGCCTCTCCGGCTCCACTGGAACGTGACTCCTGGTGGGCGTCCGGGGCACGTCACCTGCTCCACCCGCGAAGAGCCCAGTGGCCCCAGGTGCAGGCCCTGTGGACAACCCCCAGGGAAAGTGGCCGCTGGCTGGGTGGGGTCAGTCACTTTTGGGGTCTCTAGGAGTACAGCAGGTGTTACGCAAACCCACGCCTGGAGCCAGAGGAGGCCCGTTTCTCACAGCACGAGAGGCTGCCAGGGGGCTGGTCATGCTCGGCGAGCTGGGGCCCCAGGGGACGTGCAGGGGGGCCGGCCTGGTCCCACCACGGCTGCGTCTCAAGGGTCGTGGCGTCAGTAAATCCCACGCATTTAGCCACATCGCATGCAACTTGCAGGAAAGTTACAGGAACAACATACGACGTTTGTCAAGCACCAGGGTCACTGCTGGCCATGTGGACTTCACGCATTTGTTACGTTATTTTACCCTGAACCTTTTTTGTTTTCGTCTTCTGCTGCCTTTAACATGACATCTGCCCTGTGGTCCATCTCCAGTGAGTCTGACCAAACTGAAAGGTGTTTCCTCCAGATTTGCCCGGAGTTTCCTGCATGGAAATCTGATTTCCTGGAATTATTCCTAAGTATTCCTCAGTGATCTGAACTGTCCATAAGCCAGGAGTTGATGTCTCTGTTCCCATCAGGTTCTAGACCCTTCCAGCCAGGACACTGTTGCTGTTAGGAAGCCTTGCATTTGCGTCCTGGGAAGTGCTTGTGTTTGGTGACATCTGGAGCAATTTGGGCTTAAAATTAATCCTGGAAGCACCCACATGGGCTGTTGGCACCAGTTTCTAGGTGCTTCTGCACGCATCAGGGGGGCGTCTCCCTCCCTCCCCAGACGTGTCTCCAGTCGCTATTGCTCTCCCAGGCCTGAGGCCCCATCTGTCGGGACGCAGCAGGAACTTCTGGGGACCAGATGAGAGGTTGCTGCCGTCTCGTGCCATGGCCGCCTTCACACAAGCAGGCCAGGCCAGTTTCTTATCGACCGTGCGCAGTGTCCGCACATCCTGAGGCTCTCTGACCGACCAGCCGGTGGGGCCTTGGCTCCGTGTGGCGCCGGCCAAAACCCCGTTTCCCTGTGGGGAGTGGAGGCGGGAATGTCAGGCGCAGCCAGTCGGATGGCTCCCCCAGGCGTTTCTCCAGCCCAGACCCCTCCCCTGAGCTCAGGTCCGGCCGCACACTGCCACCCCCCGGAGAGCCCAGCCACGGACAGCGTCCCTCCCCAGCCACAGGGCCACCTTTCTGTGACCCGCTGCCCACACAGAATTCAGGAGTGAGTCCCTTTCTAACATTCTGAATCCCATGTGGTCCATGCCCGTCCTGCGTCCGCCTTCCTGCCCTTCTAGGGCCATGTCTCTGTTGCAAGCTGGCTGTGATTATTTATGTTCTGTGTCTCAGAATTTCCAAAAACTTGTGCCAATTGCTCATTTCTCAGTATTAATTCCATACAAAGTTCATAAAATTAAATCAAGCCCGCTCTGGGTCTTGTAAGCGAAGCCCGTAGGAGTGAGCAATGAAGAGAGCTTAGGAAGCGTGTTGTTCCTGTGATCGCGGGGAACCTCTTGTGGGGATAGTGACGGGGTCACGCTGCCGAGGAGGACGCCACCCCAGGCCCTGGCTCGCTCGTGCAGACCGAGTGAAGAAACTGGAGATTTCCCCTTCCTTTTGGTTACCAGGGTCACGGTGTCCTTGTCCCCAGGACCCCACTTTCCTGATCTCCGCTTGGGGTTTGTACATCAAGGCGCAACCCAGAGTGTGCGGCGGGCGACGCCAGGGCGCTTTCCTGCAGAAGGGCTGCAGCCCATGGGTTTGTACGTGGAGCCTCGACTCAGTCCTGCTGCTGGAAGGGACGCTTGCGTGCTGATCAGCGAACAGACTCCGGGCCGCACGGCTGCGTCACCCCCAGCTTCACAGCGGGCGCACCGAGTGCCCATGTTCTAGAATGTCCGCGAACACAGGTCAGCTGTGCCCGGGGGAGGAAGGCCCGCCAGCCTCTGGCCACGCTCATCCACAGGTTAACACAGTACCCGCTCGATGTGTGTTTCTGTTTAAAGGCTCCGTATTTAGTACAGATCACCGATTCGTTAACGTGGAACTCACGGCCAACAGCGCTCTCGCCTGAAGGAAGCGCGTCTAACACGTGGATTTCTCCTGAGGCACAACACAGCCTTCTGCACCCAGAACCACCAGACCGCACTTCACCACTGGGCTTGGGGGCCATTTTAACCTGAGAAATCACCACCAACAAGCACAAAATTGCAAAAAAAAACAACCCACAAAAGCCACGGCACGAAGTGGACTGTGGAAAAGGCCCTTGTTTGCAGGAGGAGCTGAAACCCAAAGGCAGAGCGTGGCCCTGTCCCCTCAGCCGGGACGCACGCACGGGCCGCCAGCGCTCCCCGCGGCTCTGTGCTGCTCAGCCACGGTGGGCATAGTGATGTGGGGTCACAAACTTCAGCAATGAGCAGGAGGAGGACGGTCGGGGACGGTCATGGGGAGCGTGCGGCTGGACGGGCCAGGGACACGTCTCCTCTCAGACCCAGGAGCAGCGTGTGTGTGTTGCTGTGAGGTGAAGAGCGGTTTCCGGCGTCTGTGTGGTTGGGGGTCTCACCCTTGGCGGACTCCCGGCCGGCCCGGCGCATCGGCAGACGGGGCACCTCACACGGGTGTGGCTGGCGTCGGTGGGCCGACCCGATGCAGCCGGCACCGCCGAGGGGCCCCGGTCCAGGAGCTGGTCTCTCAGCGGACAGGCCTGGGTGCACGGGGACCCCGAGCGCGGACACAGTTGGAGCGCCGTGCACACACTTTGGCTGGACGAGAGCCGGCTCACAGCCGTGGGAAGCTCTCCCCTCGGTGAAACCACAAACCGTAAGAGAGACTGCTCACTAACCGTGTCGTCCAGAGCATTTCCAAGGGAAGATCGTTTTCCAGCGAGGGGCTGGGGACAGTGGGTTTCAGTGCTGCAACAGAAAGCGCGTGGCAGTTGAGACAACTCTCTTTTCTCAGGGAGGCGTTCTAGGGCCCAGGGCCCGGGGTGGGCGGGTTTGACGGGGTCTGTCCAGTGTCCGAGGCTCTGGGAACGCGGACGAGTGAGGAAGCACACCAGCCCGCCGGCGCCTGGAGCCTCGCACACGCGGTGGAGTGGCTCGAGCACGTGACGCTGTCGCCGTGGCCGGGGTCATGGCCCCACGCTGAGTCTGGAGGAGCCGTGTCTGCGGCCCCTGCAGGACGACCCAAATGGCCCCAGGTCCCCTGGGGGCTCGGGGCGCGCCTGCCTGAACTTTCCCGCAGTGACGGCACAGCTGAGCGATGACCGCCCGTGTGCGCCTTCTAGCGCGTTCTGGGAGCAAGCTCGGCTCCACGTGGGCCCCGCATCCTGGCTCCAGACCCTCCTGCACGCCCACCTGCTCGCAGCAGGCGTTGGTCCTCCTTGGAAACTTCCAGAGGTTTCTGAACCGATCGGGATGAAGCTGTCCCCGTTGCGATAAGTCTCTAGGCCGAGGATGGAGCACAAAGGGAAGCGTGTCCCTGAGAGCGCGCCACAAGGCCGGGTGCGCCCCGGCAGCCAGATGCCTCCTGTGTGGCTCCCCGCCTCTGCTCTTTACCGCGCTCGCCTCCCGACCTCTGCCCCGTTCTGCGGTTCTCCGTCTGCCTCCTGAAGCAAAATAAAGTTTTCTGTTCACCCGAATTGTCTTCTTTCATCAGGTGTAACATCCCCAGAGCTTTACCTGCTGTGGCCGGGCCCTCCCGCCTCTCCCAGGACCGAGCGGGGGCACGCGGGGCCTAGCAGGCCTGTCGCGGGAGGCCGGCTGCCGATGCTCACCTCCCACGTGGCATGTGGTTTCCCCATAAATTCAGTGACACACACGCCCATTCAGACCCTTGATGGTTCTAGGAAGTGACAGGTATGACAAAGCTGGCATTTCACCCTCCTGTCCATCCAAACCCTTTGTTTTCCGGCTGCAAACCCACACTACCGTAGCTCCAGACTGTCCCTCCATTTCTGTGGTCCCTGCTAGCCGATGATGATCTTTAAGGAATATTTTTTCATCCAAAATAGCCTTGTCCCCTAACAATTAGATACCCAAATGCCTGTGCCCCACAGGTGATGCTGAGCCGGCGAAGCCTCGTGACGTCGGGGCGTCACCGTGGACGTGGGCCTGGTCCTGCAGGTGCGGGTGCGTCCAGGTGGCGGGAGGCGGGGCCTGCAGCATGGCCAGGAGAGCTGGGAAACGTGATGTGGGTGGGCAGGCGACCTGAGGAAAAGCACCAAGACGAGGACCTCCTCAGACCTCTTCCTCGGAGCCTCCTGCTCACACTGAGGGACACGCGCGCTCTCTGCTCAGCTGGAGTTTAGGAAGCCCTGTCTCACGTTGCAGAGCCCCTTCCTCTCCGACCGCGGTGGGCACGCTGGGACAAGCGGAGCGCTCACCTCTGGCCTGGGCCGGCGGAGACGCTTCTGCAGAGGACAGAGCCGCCCTGGTCCCTGCCGCACGCCCAGCGCCCTGGGGCCACCTGGCCGCCGGATGTCGGCGCGCCCAGAGCCGGCGCAACCACATTCCCAGGGAGCGGGGGCTGCTCCGATGAGAGCCGCAGGCTTCCGGCGTGACCCGGAGCGAGCTCCAGAGGCTGGAAGACCGATTCCGTAGGTCTGTGGAAAATCTCGTGGAGCCTTCTCCACCCTCTAGGAAAATAGCTTTTCCAGCGTATGTTTTCATTTTCAGCAGGGCCAGGTTTTAGGCCGGCGTCTGCAGGCCAGCGTGGTGCCGTGAGGAAGCCGCCTTGGGGCCCCCAGCGGATGCTTGCTGGATGCACACACACCAAGCCCAGAGGATGCTGCACCAGCACCGTCCTCGGCCCCCCACACGCCTGCACTGCGGCTCTTCATCTGGAATCTGCTGATGAGCAAAGCACACTCAGAAAAGCAAAGCCTCCTGCCCAAGGCCCAAAGCCAGGACGCAGCAGCCCCACGGAATGGGGTGCTGGTCAGTGCTCACAACCAACTCTCAGATGGGGGGATCCCGATTTCACTCTGACACCAAGCAGCTCACAGATCTGGAAAAGCAGGAGTCGGGCGAGCCAGCCTCAGCGCCCCTGCCGGGTGGAAGCCCAGCCCCGGGCACAGCCCTCTGCCGTCCCGGGCACAGCCCTGGGGGCTCCCAGCTGAGGCCCAGGCGGGCACAGATGCAAGCCCCCTGCCCCAGCCACTCTAACCCAAAGACCTCATGGGCACGCAGGTGCATTTTCTGCACCCGCTGGCGTTGGGTAATCGAGGCCACAGACACAGAACCCAGGGTGGGCGTCATGTCTCCTGGGGACAGGGTGTGGGCCCCGTTCCGGCCGCTCTGGCTTGCCAGCGCTAAGTGGGCCTGGCGGCTGGGAAAGGGCGGGAGGGGGGCGGGGGAGGGAGGGAAGGAGCCCGTAGTCAGTACCCCACCCTCCATCCAAAACCCAGAGCAGCACCAAACAGGGCTGTCCCAAAGGAGAAACCTCGCCAACACTGGAAACCGGTGGAGCCCTTTCCAGGCCCCGGCGCTCTCTGCTCTGTGTCTTCAGCGAATCTGAGCACCCACCGCAGCCACGTTCCGGACACGGGACTCCAAGGTGCCGGTTGGTGACCCCCGCGCTGGAGGACTGACCATCTGGACAGCAAGGGAGGCAGGCGTGCAGACACCTGCTGCCTCAGGGAGACACAGCATCTGTAGGAAATAGAGGAGCAGCCAGGTGGGAGATTCAGACGAGAAAAGGCATGACCTGACCCTTACAGGCCATCCAGGGAATGAAGGGAAGGAGGCCACTCTGGACAGAGGGGTCCTGAGAAAAATCCCGGTGTCCTGACCGTGAGAGGCGCTCCGTCCCGTGGGGTCCGCAGCTCCTCAGTGTGCACGCTCCCGCCCTCGACCAGGATGCTCTTTTCCTCCGAGCAGCGGTGCATGCTGGCCGGGTGAGGGGCCCCCAGGTGGGAATGGCTCAGGAGCCACAGCGAGGGCCACGCCCGGGCAACGCCATCCAGTGTTGGTGGGCGAGGGCCCAGAGCAGCCGCTGACAGGGCCTGGGGCTCTTCCTCCCGCAGGAAAGCTGTCTCCTCCGCGGGGCCAGCCTTGGGGACGACACACGCATCCCGTCGCAGCAAAAGTGAATTCAAGGTCCACTCGGTGTTGACCCATATACTCCCCGGAGTGGGCAGGCCTCAACATTGATTGCAGAACCTTCCAGAAGGGAAGGGGAGGTGTTGAGAGCAGGGCCTGGACTGACCTCACCACTTTCATCTCTGTGGGTTTGGGAAAGTCGTGCATCTTCCTGTGCCTCGGTTTCCTCTTCTGCGAACCGGGATGAAGCCGTTCCTGCCTCTGTGTGCGTTTGCTGTCCTAAGAGCGAATCACTGAACGCAAGCACGCGGCCCGCACACCTCCGCACTCCCGCCGTCGCTGTCATGCGTGAGTGAGCACAGGGCGCGGGGTGGGCAGGACCAGGGCGAGCACCGGGCGTCGTGCCCCCCGTCCCCGCCTGCCCGCTCACATTAAAGACCCCGTGGGAGCGTGAGGGCCCCAAGCATCGAATCACCCCCCGTGCGCCAGAAAGCCCGGGATGCTCTCCTCACCCGCCTCGGCACCTTCCTTCCACTGTCCCTCCCGAGGGCCGCGAGCGGCAGAGGCCCCGGGTTCCAGCACAAAGCCCCCGCCTGGGAGCAGGTGGGAGTGCTTCCGGCTGCTTTGCCAGGTCTGTGGCTGGAGGAGCCAGCAACTCGCCCTCCCCTCTGGCCTCCCCCGCCCTGAGCGGAAATGGCCAAGAGAGGCTGCGAACGCCTGGCGTCCTGCCCGGGCGGAGGCGGGGGAGCCCGGGGAGGCCTGGGTCGTGGGCCACACACCGTGTGGTGGCCCCGTGCTGGGAGCATGGCCTCCCGCTCTGCCTCAGGGGCTCTGCAGACAGACCTTACCCTCTGGAGAGGGACAAGCACCTCTCCACGTGTGAGGGGCTCTCCTGGCTGGGTGGGAGGAAGACGATGCATTCTCGGAAGGCCCTTCAGTGGGGGCACCTGGGCCCTGGCGACCCAGCCCGTCCTGACGGCCTCACCTGCCCCTCCCACCTCCCCTCGGGCTCCTGATGAAAACAACTCTGATGACGACGTTTGTGGTAAAGTAGGTGCTCAGACTCCACGAGAACGTCCCATGAGAAAACATCATGTGTCTACTGGAACCGTGTGCTTCCGTGCCGGCCGGGGACTCAGTCTCGTGTGGCCAGGGCTCCTCGGGGCAGGGCTGGGTGGGGCAGGAGGGGAAGGACAGCTCCCCCTGTGGCAGCTCTGGGGACACCCTGAGAGGAGGCTGAGGGGCTGTGGGCACCTCTGACACAGTCACGTCCGTTTGGTCACTGGCGGGGGACTTGGGTGACAGGTGAGCAGGAGACGTGGGAGCGGGGCTCTGAGCCTTGAGGCCAGGGCGAGGGCAGGGCGTGCAGAGAGGAGGCTGCGGGAGGGGTGGAGGCCAGCAGGGCGGGCCGAGGCCCAGGGTGACGCTCCGCCCTCTCCCCTCTGCAAAGGGTCACTGTCCCCAGGGCTGGCTGAAGGCCGCCTGCCCCCAGAGTCCTGTCCTCTTCCCATGGGCGAGCTGGGCCTGTCCCCTGCTAATGGGGCCTCACTGTGGACGTGGGCTTCCGGCCCGGGATGGACAGGCCGTCCCGGATCCGAGCACCGACTCAGCCCGGGCCACAGCCCGGCCGCCAGCGCCCCTGTGGCTCCTGTCAGGGGCAGTCGTGTCCAGGGGCGCCTCCTTCCTCGGGTCTGGCCGCCGAGCAGGGCCGGCCGGGTTTCACTGAGCAGCTCTGCCGCTCACCGCCTGCTTCCCGGGGGAGGGCCTTGTCCCTGCAGGACGGCTGGCGGACACGGGGCTCCCGGCGTGTCACGGGCGGACTGCAAGCCCCCTCCCTGGGCTTGGGGCCCGAGGGCGAAGCCCCACAAGCCCCAGCCACGGAGCAAGTCCACACTGTGAGCTGCGGGCCCGGAGGGCTCCACAGCAGGGACCGGTCCCCCCAAACCCGCATGCTGCCTGTTGGAGATGAAATTTCATCTCACCACTTGGGCACGGCCACTTGGCAGAGACCACAGCATCCGCTAAGCCCAAGACGTTTACAGCGTGGCCCTCGACGGAGAACGTCTGACTGGGCCTGTTTGGCCGCGAGCATGTTGTTCCCAGCGGACGCGGTGACGCGGGAGGCCTGGGAACCCGCTTCCAGGACGGGCGGCCCGTGGGCGGCCGTCACGGGCACCAACACTGCTCCAGCCGCCCGTGTGCAGGGAATACAGCGTCTCCTTAAACGTCCATCTCGAGAAAACATTTACCTTCTGTCCTATCTGTCCATCTTAGAGTTTATTTAAACTTATTTCTGGGATGGTTGAATGTCCATGAGGGAAAACGGAGCGTCTTTGTCCAGGTGGTTTTTGTATTCTGTCTACATCACGGACATCAATTTCGAATGTAATGCAGTGAAATGGGTTCAAAACTTTGCCTATTTTCTAAATTACATCTTACTTTGGGCGTGTGTGGGGGAGGTCGGAGCCCGTATAAAATTCTCAGAAAGATTTGCTACTTTTAAAAATGTGTTTGGTAGTGAGTCCCTGGGTCAAGCAGCAAGGCCGCGCGTTTCTGCCGCCCGTGGGGGGTGTTGCTGGGAGCCGAGGCTTCGGGGGGGTGGGGGGCACCGCGGGGCCCTCTGTTCACCGGACCCCGCGTCCCAGCTCCTGGACGTCCTTGTTCTGACCTCCAGCTTCAGGCCCGGCGTCCTCCGCCCTCACCCACGTGGTTTCCGAGCACCGTGGCTCTCGAAGGCCAGAAAGGTGACGGGGCCTCGCCGGCCGCGGCGTTGATGACGGACGTGACGCTGCCGCCCACATTCTTCTGAAAAAGCATCTCCCCCGGGAGCGAGCTGCTTCCTTGGCTCCGAAACAGAACCTCCACGTGGGGAGTCCGGATGTGCTCACTGCGTCCTGCTTCATGGGAATTTCCCTTCCCAAGGGCTTTTCGGGAAGACGTTTTCCTCATGTTCCAGACCGCAAGCTTTGGGAAGACGGGATGCTGTCCAGGGGGCCGGCTTACTCCTCGGGGCTCTGGGGAAGTGGCGGCCCTCGGCCAGTGTGGTGCTGGGACCCCAAACTCCCCCTGCCCTCTGTGCCGTTTCCCCTGTGACAGCTTGCTCTGAGGCGTCTCGGCAGTCATTTCTACATTAGCGAGAGTCAGGGCTCGGACGTCCAGCCTCGAGCATGCGCCCCCCTCTTGTGACGGCAGGTGCCTTGTCCTGGTGCTTCTTTGCTGTCCTCAGACAAATCTGACCGATCAAAGAGCTTATCCACACATGCAACTGACAAAGCAGCATAGCGTCCCAGTGTGATATAAAGAAAATTATGTAGTATGTAATTTAACATGAGGAAGATTGTCCCCAACCACCCATGAGACTACTGCAGTTTGAGTGTTTGCTAATGAAGTAATTAAGGCTGAAAATAAGTAAAACAAAATCAACTGAATGTTGTGGATGCTCTGTTATGTATATTTCCCCTCTTGAAAGGAGGGAAAAACAAGTATATTATAAAAGTACACAGAACCCCAGCAAACGCCGTCCCCCCGGGCACGAACGTCTGGGATACGTGGCCCAAAAGCTTTGAGCAGAGTTTTGAGCGGTCTAGCGCTCCCTGGAAAAGAGGATGAAGACGTTCTGGAGAAACAGCGTCCTGATGTGCATACTGAGCGCGACCCTGAAGCTCCGAGCAATTCAATTTGTGCAGAAAATTCTGTTGTGTTTGGATGAACTGCATCCCTGGAGCTGGGGTCCGGCGGGGCGACCTGAGCCTGGAGCAGCCGGGACAGGCCCACCGCCGCCATTTCCGTCCCGGTGCTTGTGTGATTCAGGCCTGCCGAATTCCCACGCGCCCACTGTGGGGGCCTTCTCCTGAGAGAAACTGTTCTAGCACTTCTTTATGGAACCCACTGGAAAGACAGCCTGCCCCCAGCCCCGCCACGGTCCCCTGACTGCATTCATTCGCTACCGCATCCAACACTTACACCCTGTGGTCCAGGCAGCGACACTTGGTGCAGGGATGAGTCCAACGCTCTGAGGGCCAACCTCTCTGGTTGTACAAGCCAGGCTGCACATCCCAGAGTCCGTGCAGATCCACTCAGCTCTTGCCAACTCCACCTGCTCCTACAGACGCCTCCCTGGCTGTCAGTACCCTCCCGATGAAATACCCCCACGCCAGCCCCAAGCCACCAACGGGAAGCTGGGCACCCTGCGGTCAGGACGGGGACAGCCCAGCACCCCGCGGTCAGGACGGGGACGGCTGGGTCCTGGGCACCCCGTGGTCAGGACGGGGGAGGCCTCACCTGTTGGATCTGTGCACAGCGGGGCGGATATCATAGAGGACAGGGCCGTGCAGACATCTGCTGGCTTTGCCTGAGTCCTTGGCCCAAATGAAGGTGCGCGATGTCCCTGCTCACAGGCCTGGGCGACTCGTCCACGGTGGAGCCGGAACCCGTCATTTCTTCTTCTCTCACTGGGGAGAGGCCGGTTCACGAGGACAGTGGTGGGCGGTTTAGGGACTCGTCCCCAGCAAATCTGGGCTTGCAGCTTGGCTCTCACCCTCCAGCATCACAAACTCAAACTTGAAGGCCCTGGGGTGGGGGGCAGGCAGGACGGCCCCACGCCCACCTTCTGGTCCCCACCTCGAGCGTGGGGGGACCTGTGACCTGCTTCTACTCAGTGACATACGGCGCGGGGAGGGCCCTGTGACCATGCGGCCCCACGGACACCAGTCTGCAGACGCGCTGTCACTCCCCTTGTCAGCACAGCCCGGCTGTGACCCGCCTCAGGAGCGGGACTCGCCTAGCCGTCGGCATGCTCTGGCTGGCCACAGAAACAAGCACAGACAAAAAAAACCAACCCAGACAAAAAATCCCACATAACCAATGGACACACACCAAAACTCCAGAAAGTCAACCCTTTTTCTCCGGAACCTGAAACTGCTCTCGGTCCTACCCCCACAAGGAAATGAATCCGGCCAAAAATCTTACTGCTGGGGGCTGGGGATCCACCTCCCACCTGCCCCCCTCCTCCGGCGTGGCCTCCCCCAGCCCGGCCCCCGATGGGAGCTGCCTGCCCCTCAAGCACAGGGCCCCGGCGCTGTGCCTGGTGTCTTGACCCACACCCTGCGGGTAACCCCAGGCCTTGGGCTAGAGCCTTGAGTCAGACCAAAGGTTATTCCATGACCGCACTAAGGATGTCTAGGGACAAATCCGTCTCCATTTCCTGGCAGACACGGACGGTTTAGAGAAGTGGGTGGCATTGATTCCTTGCATGGAGACCAGGTTTGATCAACCTGTGTTTCCCTCGCGCTCCTGTTCAGTGTGAGTTGTTCTCGGAAGCAACGTCCGAACCAGGCTTTGCTCGAGAAGAGCAAGCGTGCCCATCTCTGGACTCTGCCTCAAGATTAAGTTAATTACCGAGATCGGTGGTTGGAGGCTGCTCACCTGAGAGACGTCCTGCTCAGTCCTGAAAGCCCAGCTCTAAGCGTGCTGGGTGGTGTGGAACCCTCTCTCGTGGACTGTGGGCTCGGTGGCTCCTTCCTTAACCACCCAGGCTTCCGGGTGTAGTGCGGGTGAGGACCTTCCTTGGGGTGGGTCTCTGTCACGCAGGCTTGCTGCTGAACCTCGGAAACGCACTCTGCACCTTACAGAGACCTGGGCTGGTCACAAGGTCAGCCAGGGGCAGGTGTGTCTACAAGGACAGAGGAAGCAGGCTCCTTCCCAAGCTCCAGCTAGCTGTTGCTAGAGAGAGTGTCTCAGTTTGGGAGGGCATGGGGAGGTTGAGCAGATGCACCTGCTGCCCTGGTCTTTGGTCTTCCAGAATCTGAGAGGTTGCAGCACCCACCAGCCTTTCTGCTCTGGGGGCGGGGGGGCTGCCGTGTAGATTAATTGTCTTTTGCTTTTGCACCAAAAGCAGCTGCAGTAAAACCCCCAGCCTGTCATCACTGGAAACCAAACCCTTCATTCTGCCTGGATTTTTGGAAATAGGTCTATAATATGACGTGATTTCTCCAATTTTTAAAAAAATCTACATTAATAAAAACAAATATAGCAAAATTTCCCTGGAATCACATTTTATAAAGAAATCGGTGCCAGTGCTTAGTCTTACATGCTTGCCCCATGGATAGATTGAATCGTATTCTGATTCGCCCTTCACACTGCACAGCACGTGATCTCCCTGGGGCTAACCCAGGCCCCAGGCAGACGCTGTCCTCAGGGCGGCTGGACCGCACTGCCGAGTGCACACCGCCTCGGCCAGAAGTCACTACAAGGTGAACTTTAAATAAAAAAGGACAGAGGTACTTTGTTGTGCAAAAACACATTACACATTTTTTTTTTTTTGACAGAGAGAGTCGCAGCGAGAGAGGGAACAAGCAGGGGGAGTGGGAGAGGGAGAAGCAGGCTTCCCGCCGAGCAGGGAGCCCGACGCGGGACTCGATCCCGGGACCCTGGGATCAGGACCTGAGCCAAAGGCAGACTCTTAACCGACTGAGCCATCCAGGTGCCCCTACACAATGTTTTGATAAGTCTTTTATTTCTATTTCTGACGGTTTTTGCCATCCTTCCCCGCGGTCGCCTTCGGGGGCGAGGTTTGCCACATCCTGTCCCTCCCCAGGCGTTTAACTCCCAAATAAAGCAGGTACAGTAAGCGGCTGCCTTGGACGCGGCACCGGTTCCTCACGCTGGAGCCAAAGAGGAATTCTTCCAAGCCGGCCGTTGAAGCGCCTGGGGCCCGTCAGAGAAAAGCGGCGGGGACGGGCTGTGCTCCCCGTCGCGCCCAGCAGGCGGTGCTGTCGGCCAAGGAAAACGGCGCATTCCCGGACAAGTGCTCAGAAGAGGTCTGGGCAGGTGTCCAGCCCCACCGAGGCCCGGGCTCCCGTCGGGGCGCTCAGGGGTGAGGCTCACGGGCGATGGACATGCCCAGCGAGGATGGGGCCCGGCTCCCGCCGCGGGAAGCGGTCAGATGCTCCCAAACAGCCACCGCACAGTTGGGAGTCCGGGTTTGGGGTGGAGATGCCGGCAGTTGGTTCCATGGTAGTGGCAGGTGGATCCGCGAGGAGCCACGGGGACGGCGTTTCCCCCCCTCCTTGAATTTAATTTGCCATGTGACGCAGAGCAGGTCCCTGCCCGCACCCGGGAGTCGGCTGCCCCCTGAAAAATGAAGGGGCTGCCCGAAGTGACCTTGGGGGGGGACGTCCAGGGCTAACGTCCGTGAGGCTCATTATCCCAAGGACGCCATCAGTTTTCATGGTCATCCTCCTGGGAACAGCCCCAGGGAAGGAAGGGAAGCGAGCCGGGCACAGCGGACACAGGGGGGCCTGGAAAGGGAGCTGACGGACCCCTGGATACTTGGTCCAAGTGCTTAGACCACCACCAAACCATTGCCAGTCCTGACAGCAGGTCATCCAGAGTTATGCTCGCCAAGTAACCGATACCCCAAAGCAATCTGATTTCACGGAGAGTAAGGATTCCCTACAAGTGACAAGACGGTGTGAGCACATTAAGGCCCAGCTGAGGGTCATTGGGATCGTGACCCGTGGATACTTAATTATCTCGGGACTACTCCTTCCGGCTAAGTAGCTGTTCATCATACTGCTTATGGGGCAAACACCAAGCACACGGGAACCACGACACTAAAGACAGGATCCCAGAGCAGAGTCAGCACAGGAACCCCTAGCCGGGGGCCGCGTCCCGGCCGCTGATGCTAGCAGGAGGCTGAGGGGCCGCGGGGGAAGACTGACCTTCAGTGCGTCCCCATTCCCGACTTCTTACGGAAATCCTGCGGAGTCCCAGGGTGTCCCAGGCCCAGGAGCACAGGCTGCACGGTGTTTGCGGGCTCACTATCGCCCCTAACGTCCAGGGGGACGTGGGCTCCGCACGGTGAGCTCTCCCAGGGTGCCTCTGATGGCGGTTTAATCATTGTCGTTAATGTTAAACCGAACAGTAGTAAGAATCTGGGACCCGCCCCCGTGAGGAACACAGAGTATTTGTAGGTTATGAGCAGGAAGACCTGTTTCTCAAACATTCACCAATTTCCTCGCCAGGTCCTCCCTCCTGTGTGTCAGGAAGAGCTGCTTGGACTAACCTGGTCTCTCTGTCACGAGCTATGCTCCATGTTCCAGGGCAGGTGCGTCTACGTGCGGTTCTGCTGGGAGGGAAGGCTTCCCATCTCCCGGGGGGCTGGGAGGGACCGGCCACCTGGGCAGGGGATGTGGCCTGCCACTCGGTCACTTCGTGCAGAAAACTAGGGTCATGGCAATCAGTGCTCTGTGGGGACCTCAGCTCCCTGACGCCACTAAGGCCGGGGACCCTCAGAAGGGAGACCCGTGTTGGGGGGAGCTGGGGGGGAGCTGCAGCTGCCCAGAGCGGGCCTGGCTCTAAGGGATTTTGCCGCAGTCCCCTTGGGGGCAACAACGATCCCAAGAGCCATCCTCCTTCCCCTGCTGCCGCCCGCAGGGAGGGCCTGTGGGAGGGGACGCAGCCGGGAGGGGACGCAGGCGCCGAGCACTCATGGCTCAGAGGTCGCCGAGACGTGGGACGCCGAGAAGCAGGTTGGCAGGCAGGAAACGGCGCGGAAGGAAGAGAAGGGGCGGGCCGACACCAGGGAAGACGGACACGAGTGCAGAGCAGTGTCCCCGCTTGTCGGGCAGGACGGAGAGGCTCGTAAGCATGTAGATGGGTGTGGAGGCAGCCCCAGGAGGAGTGGGTCAGGCGGTTCACACAGAGCGCCAGACGGCGGTGAGGGGCTGCGATTTATTCGCCTGTGCTGGATCGTAACTGGAGCACATGCTAGATTGGCCTCGACTTGAAAACAGCCTCAGCGGTGATTTTGGAAACAGGAGCTGTTGTCAAGCCCTGAACGCCGGGTCAGTGCGTCCTGATCGGCGTCCACCCCGTCACCGTCCCGTGAAAGCGAATGCGAAGGACACGGGACTCTTGCTTGGGGAACAGCACACACTTTATTCTGGGTGGAAATGCCGGGATCGGTGTTTCCAGAGTGAACAGCCCCCCCCTCGTTGTGCAGGGAGTTCCTGTCCCGAGACCGACCGTCCGCTCCCAGGAATCAGCCCACAGCTGCACCTGCTCACGCCCGGCCTCCAAGCACACCACTGTGGTTCCTACTGGCAGAGAAGGATTTGGGATCCACAGGCCGGGTCCTGTGGGAGAGAAGTGACTCTGAGCGCGCGGACAGACGGGACACCCGCCGGGGCCCCTGGGTCTCAGTCAGCTACTCGTGCCCGGGGACACGTGCGTCTCAGGGTGGCTGGAAGGGGCCTCGCGTGTGCATTCCAGCAGGGGTTTGGGGTCCCGCGTGGGTGCGAACGCGGATCCTGCTGTGGCGGGACGCCTCGGGGGACAGGGCCAGCCAGCTCCGCGCGTCCCGGTGACCGCCTACGTCTCGGATGGGCGCGGGCACGCACTGACTTTAGTGCCCCATCTCGGTGGTCATGCAGACAAAGTAAAAGTAGTAACACGCAAGTCTAGACTGGTTGTCTCCACACTACTTGTGATGATTCCATTTTTTTAAAAAAGTGCATTCTAGAAGTGAACACTTTCAGCCTCTGGCTGTCTTCTTCGGCCGAGACTTGGGGTAACACTGAGGCGAATGCCTGCCCTCGGCTGTCAGTTTCGAAACCAGTTTGTACAAACGGCAAGCACTGTCATGATCTCGCTCTGGCTTACTCGTTCTGATTTGTCTACACTTTTTAAAAGGTAGGTTAAAATTTTCACAGCTCATCCTCTTGTATAAACCCAGTTTGCATGAGCAGTAAACACACAGCAGGCCCGTGCACAGCGGGACAGGACCGGCGGGGGTCACCGCACGAGGGACAGGACCAGGGTCTCCGTGATGGCCTCCTGGTCTGAATGGGCCTGCGTGACGTGTGGCGACCCTGCGTTCACCCAGGCGTGCACCCACCTGCCCTGCGCCCGGTGTGGGGGCACCAGGCTGTGGCACACTCGTGTCCCGGCGTGCTCCATGGCCCGGCTGGCAGGTCCCTCTTCCATCTGCCTCCGCGATGGGCAGTGAGGCTTTACGGCCCGTGAGCGTCCTGTGGACAAGCACACATCTGGTTAGGGTGGTCACGACTCAGGAGAACCCCCCAGAGCCCATCACACACAATGTCACGTTGCCACTGTGATTGGAGGGGGGCCGGAACGCCGGTGCCTCCCCGATCCATCAGGCGAGGAGCCCGGGGCCCCAGTTACCGCGAAGAGAAGAGAGCGTTAAGGTGCAGCGTGGCCTGCACTGTTCTGCGGAGCCGGTCCAGCGCCAGGAACCCCCGCCACAGGCCACGAATCGCCCTGCCCAGAGATCGTCCCCAGCCCCAGTCCTGCCAAACTCATCTGATCCACTTCTGATTCCTGCAGAAATGCATTCGGAAAATCACAATCCCAGGAGAGAGACTGAACTGTGGGCAGGCTCCCCACTCCCTTTTTCTCTGTTGTTTTCCAGGCTCACTGCAGACACTTTGCATCTGGACGTAGGTTTCCTGATCCACGAACGTCTCAGAAGCACGTTGTGCTCCTGTCCTGCTGGGGCCGGTCCTGGTTGCATCTCCTCCTCGTCAGACCCTCACAATGCTGGGGGTCCCCAGGGTGTGAACAGCACCCTCCCGGATGACCAGCAGGCCCAGGGGAGTCACAGGGAAATTAGGGAATGTCACGGGAGGAATGGACGTGGACAGGACGCACTGGGACCCACGGGCACAGAGAACACCACACGCAGTGGGGACGATCCAGCAGTATGTGTCTATGCGGAAAAGAAGACAGACCTCGGGTAAGCCAGGTAACTGCAGCTGGCGGAGGGGCAGAAAGGACCAGCCAGAGTTGCAGAAGGAAGGACAGGGAGACCAGAGCAGAGACGTCTCGGGCACGGTTCAACCTCCCGCCTCACCCCCACCTCCGCCCCTGCCCGTGGCCGTGAGCGGGTGACACCGAGCTCTTCTGGGGGTCAGTGGCCCATGGGAGTGGGAGTGGGCACGTCCGCCACTGATCCAGGACAGCGGCGCCGGGCACGTGGCCACCATTTTCCCGGAAGCACAACAGGCTGGAGGTGCTTTGGATGAAGCCACGCGGCCCCGCGGCAAAGGGCTGGGTGGGAAGCAGGTGCCCAGACGCTAGGGCATTTGTGGGTTGTGGATGCGGAGTCACTGGTGTGGACACAGCAGGGAGGGTGACCCGGGTGAGCACCCACTAATGGGCTGTCCCGTGAGAGCCACCGCAGAGGGCATTCCTCGGGTCAGCCCACAAGGGGCAAAGCCCCCTCCGACGGCACCCTGTGCCCTCCCATCCTAGAGGACAAACCCCCCTTTCCAAGCTTCCCTCTCTCCCCAGGAGGACCAAACACCAGGAAGTTTCAAGCTCTCAACCAAAGCAGTTTCAAATACAAGAGGAAAGGCCTTTTGTTGTGGGGAGGGGAGCAGATCCCAGGGCCACTCGTGGAGAGGGCACTTCTGGGCGTGGCGGCAGGGCTGCGCTCTCCGGGGGCTTAGGTGCTGTCTGTCTGGTCCCCACAGAGGCCGCGGGCCCCCAGCCCTTTGCGAGTCAATACCTGCCTGTTCATGCGGCTCTGACCATCTCTGCGGCCCAATGGTCTGCTCGCCACGTCCTGACCAGCAAACAAAGCGGTGCTTGGTGGCGTGTATTAAGGCTCCAGAGTCAAGAATCCAGTGTGGTGGACACTTTCCTCCCAAATTTCCTGGAAATGTATCATTTGACGAGTGGCTGTCAATCTTAAATCTGTTTTCCTTGTGTGGCGTCTGGATGCACCTTTGCATAACGATAAGGGGACCGATGTCTAACGGAGACATTTACAACCACGTGAATACTAAGTTGTGGTCCCATCAGTTCTTCACAGTGTGGACATTCAGTCCACGGGATTGCAGCAACCAGCCCGTCCGGGGGTGTGTGCCCACGGCCTGTCTCGTTTCTACCGCTTTGTTCGTTTGGTGACCGGCTATGAGTTTTAATTACTGCCAATGTCTAAGCTTCTAAGACCAGGTGATCCTTAGAACTATTTCCTGCCACCAGCCCCACCTAAAACCAGAGACGCTGTTTAAACGTTAGTTGACATAATGTCTCCAACAGGTCAGCAGTGGTGCCTTGAAGAGGATGTAGGTGATGACCGGTCAGTGTTCATCAGAATGACAGCCTGAGGGCGCCTGGGTGGCTCCGTCGTTAAGTGTCTGCCTTCGGCTCAGGTCGTGATCCCAGGGTCCTGGGATCGAGCCCCGCATCGGGCTCCCTGCTCTGCAGGAGGCCTGCTTCTCCCTCTCCCACTCCCCCGGCTTGTGTTCCCTCTCTCGCTGTGGGTCTCTGTCAAATAAATAAAAACTTAAAAAAAAAAAAAAAAAAAAGAATGACAGCCTGACAGTTTTGGCCCTGATGGCTCTGATGGGGACAGCCCAAACGGTGACGGTCCTGATGGTGATGGTCCTCACGGTGACGGCCTTCACAGTGACGGTCCTCACGTTGGTGGTCTTCATAGTGATGGCCCTGACGGTGATGGTCCTGATGGTGACAGTCTTCACAGTGACTGTCCTCACGTTGGTGGTCTTCACGGTGACTGTCCTCATGGTGACGGCCCTGACGGTGACGGTCCTGACGGTGACGGTCCTCACGTTGGTGGTCTTCACGGTGACTGTCCTCATGGTGACGGCCCTGACGGTGTGATCACACTTGGTGCCAAAGCAAACTGGGAGGAGGTGGGGGGGTGCGGTGCCCACGGCCAGGCCCCCAGACCCGGGCAGAACTTGGGTCTCAGAAGCTATTCCAGCTGTTACCAGCGCGTGCGAGCAACACATTCTGCAAACAGACACCCCAGCACTGCTGTATTGGGTCCTGGGGCTTCAGTAACACCGGGCCACGGCCCCATGGGCTTGGCCACGGAAATCTGTTCTCTCCCCCTTCTGCAGTGTGGACGTGTGGGGTCATAATGTCGGGACAGCTGGCTCCTCCTGAGGCCGTGAGGAGCTCAGCTTCTGGGGGTTTTCTGGCGACCCTGCAGACGCATTCCCCAATCTCTGCCCTGATCTTCACCGGCCTTCGCTCTGTGTGCGTCCCTGACCCTATTCCCCCTTCCTATGAGGACAGCAGACCTGTTAGATTGGGGACACCTACTCCGACACGACCCCACCTCAACTCATTACATCCCCAATGACGCTGCTTCCAAATATGTCACATGCCAAGGTACCAGAGGTCAGGTCTTCAACATGTGAATTTGGGGGATGCATTTCAGCCAGTAACAAAGACCTCACATGATCGAGAGCAGAGTTTAACGACATAATGGCTAGATTCACCTAGCCAGCGAGACCCACAGCTGCTGGGGGTTCGCATTAGCTGGTAAGCTGAAGGAATTCCTCACTGTGTCGTCTGAACAGTGGCACCCATTAGCTCTGCCAGAAGTTACGAACCTGCTAGAAAGTGTGTCATTTAAATACATTTACCAGACAGATGGTGAAGTCACGGGTCAGGTAAAGACGAGGAGGCAGAGGGGGTCTTGGGGTTAAAGGAGATGGGTGCTGGCAGGCAGAGCGGAGCCATCACGGGTCCCGGGGCGTTACCCCCCAGGTGCTCGGATAGGAGCCAGGCTGCGGCTGGCAGTGGAACGCGACGGTGGCCTCCTGGTGGTGACCCCCGACCACTGGGGCTCTGGGGTTTGCTCACAGCAGCACCACTGTGGCGGAGGGGCGGGGGGACGGGACCGCGGGGGGCGGCCGGGGAGCAGGCGCGGCAGTGGGCAAGGGCACCGCGGCAGACGCTCCGCGGGGCAGCCCAGACGTCTCACGGCAGACGCTCCGCGGCGGGGTGGGGGTAGGGCCCGGCCAGACGGGTCCAGCCATGGCTTCTTCTAGTTTATGCCCATGAGAAAGTTCAGCAAGACTCTGAGCTTGATTCCTCAGAGCCACTGGTCAGGAAGGGGCAGCAGGGGGCAGACCCGTTTCCCACAGAGACACTCAGACCCCCCTCTGAAGGCCCCGCCACTCGGCCATTTTTAACATGAAAGTCCAACTTTCAAGTTCCCAATTCCCAGGAGTCTGCCCCGCGGTGGGGAGGGGGTACAGCTGAAGAATTGGTTTTTATCCAGGGATGACCTTTATTCTCCGAGAAACCTGTGTGAGACTCTCTGCTCCTAACGAGAGTATCTCATGCAACCAGGTGACGTTGCCAAGCATCCCCATCCCAGCATCTCCCTCCACAGGCACCTGACACCCCGAGGTATGCGGGTCACTGTTCCACCTTCATTACTTAAAGCATGATAAAGAACCAGAAGTCTAAGGCTTTGTACAAAATAGCTCTGGGGCTGGAGGGGTTCGGGGCACTGAGCATCTACACTGGCTTCTGAAACAGACCAGCCTTGCCCACGGGGGAGGAAACGGCCTCGTGTCAGCTTCAGTGGGAGCACTTACCACCGGCAAACCGCCGTCCAGGTGAGGCCTGCCAGGCCGCCGACCAACAGGGCGCCCAACACGATGGAGACCAGGGACGCCTTCGGGAGCCTCCCGGAGTCTGGGGAGAAGGAGTGGGTTAGCGAGCCCACCCGCCAAGGGCTGCAGCCAGTGTGCCCCACGAGCCCAGCCCACCCTGGTCCTGAGGGGCTCACCTCCACTTGCGACTGCCCAAAGCTGCCATTTCAACAGATGGGCTCTCCCGAACGTGAGGTGTGGGGAGAGCTGGTGGAGGGCACAGGGGTGCCTGCCCTTTCTCAGGCCACAGGCCCTCCCTCGAGGGCTGGCCAAGAGAGACGAGCGAGCCCCAGGCAGAGGGGCTGGGGACCTGGCCTGCCTCCACTGGGCTCAGAGAGGGGCCAAACGAGCAGGTGGTTGGAGGCGCAATTGAGCTCGCGCCCTTGGCAACCCTGCTTTTTGCAGAAGTGGGTAGAGGGTAAACTTCAGGGCACTGTCCGGGCGGTGGTCAGAGCCGTGGGGGGCCAAACACAGCAGGTGTCCCAGCTATAGGCTCGACTGGAAGAAATGAGCAGGGTTGGCAGGTACAGACCAGAAGCGGCCATGGACGGGGAAGGAGTCTGCCGGGGGTGGCCTGGGACATGCCGGGTCTCAGGGAGGGGACTTGGGAAGCGTCTGAGCCACACCCAGAAAGTGGGGATAGACTAGGAGGCTTCTCCAGCCCTATCCTGTTCTGGGTCCCACCACCTGCCAAGGACGTGCCTGCGGGGCAAGGTGGGCTTTGGGATCCCCATGCATCGCCAGCTGTTCTGTGGGTGCAGGTCCGGTACCTACACATGTACCCCTTCCAAAGCTGCCGGCTCCCTGCTGGCCAAGCAGAAATACAGGAGGTCGGGACATCCACTTTCAAATAAAAGGTAAAATACTGTCAGCCAGCACAGGAGAGGCCCCGTGGTGAGCACGGCCCGCCTGGGCATCGTCCAGAGTGCGGGCACTGATTTTTCCAAGACAATAATGAGCGGGCTCCACAGGCAAGCCCACCGTCCTCTGTGGCCTGTCACCTGCATCGAGCTAGCTCCCAGGCGGCAGCTGTGCGCTGCTCAGAGAGCTGCCCCTGGCCTCAGAGGGCAGACCGAGTGGGAGCGGGGACCCCTCGGCGGATTGCACGGCACCCCAGCCGGCTTAGCCTGCGCCCGTCTGGTGCCTGGAACGACTCTCCCCTGGCTCCGCCCCATCTGCCAGATGCCCACCTGTGTGGCTGTACGGAGATGGGTCTGAAGAGGTAACTGGGGTCAAACGAGGCCATGAGGCTGGGCCCCCATCCCAGTGACTGGTGTCCTGTGAGAAAGGACGACCCGGTGAGGACACGGGAGAGAGGCCTCACGACGAACAGCCCTGCCCACGCCTGGACCTCAGACTGCAGCCCCAGGACTGGGATAGCACACCTGCTGTGTGGTCCAGCCGGGCTGTTACAGCAGCTGAGCAAGAGAACGCACAGCTGTGGTCCCAAGACTCAAACCCAAACCAAACCGGAGCCAGCTGAGCCCTGATTCGTCTCCGGACACTGTTCCCAGGGCCTTCCTGGCTGCCGCGGGGTCTCCTTCATCCTCACCCGCCGGGGTGAGGCCCGCACGCGTGTTTGACCGAGAAGAGCTGTGCAAAAACGCACCTACACAAGCTTGCAAAGTGGTGCGGCTTTCCCGGAATTACCTGGAGGCTCATAAACTCAGCCTGTAGTACATCGTGGACACCAGTGGTTGTCGACGCAGGGAGCGGGGAGCAGGGCGACGGGGACGCAAGCCGACAACGGCTCCAGCAGACGACGGCGCCCCAACCCACCCAGGACAGGGTGACCATGTGCAAGGACCCAAATAAGAGTCACTATTTCTCAACACGTGCACCCTCAGGGTGCACTCGGCACGAAATCTCACTTTTCTGGGGCCAGCGTCATTCAGAGAGGCGGGGATGGGGTCTGGAGCAAACATCCCTGCGGAGGGCGTGGAGGGGCGCCCTTCACTTGCCAGAGCCGACGTTACAGAAGCACAGAAAGTCTTCCCGGGCAGACTCGGCACTGCTGACCCGGGGCCCTCGGCTCAGCCTGCAGGCTCCGGATCCGCCATCCCAGGCGGGGAACTGCCCTGACCCCCACCCCCTTCCTGCGAGTGTGTGCGGCATGGGACCAGACTGCCTCGCTGGGCGGCCTTCCGACGGCCATTTTAGATATTTTCCTGAAAACCCTGAACGCGAGAGCTGCTGCTTTCTAGTTTTTTGTGACCAAAAGTGGTCTAGCTGCAGATACATGGAGAATAAATGTTCAAACAGAGAAGAACTGTGAGTAAACCTAGAGGCTTCTCCAGGAGGAGGCACCGTGGAGAGGGGCAGAGGAAAAGCATGTGAGGAGGACACGGGGTGCAGCCCACGGCCAGGGGCGCACGCGGTAGGCCACCAACAGTCACCTGATGGTGCGGCCCCATCACTCTCGCCCACGCGTGACGGCGGGACACACGTGTTCACGGGCGCAGTGCAGCCGGGAGGATGACCCTGCCACCATCCGTAGGGCCTATCGCCCACTCAGGACGCGGAGGAGTGCACTCACCTACACATGTCCTTCCGTCCTCCCCCAGCACGTAGGGATCCGTGCACTCACACCTGAAGCTGCCCTTGGTGTTCCTGCACCGGGCCGACGGGTGGCAGGGAGGGTGTGTGACGTCTTCACACTCGTTGATATCTGCACAGACCACACGGAGGTCAGGCAATGTCGCTGTCCTCCCCGTCCCCCGGTGGCTCCGGCCCTCACCCCGGAGGCACCTGCACTCTCCCCAAACCGTGGGCAAGAGAATCCGAGAACCCCCAGTACCCTGTCAGCCGTGCCCCCTTGTGCCAGGCCTCTGCCTGAGCACCCGCTCTCTCCTTGCCAGGGGGTGTCCTCTGAGGTCAGCCCGACAGTCGGCCACTTTGTGACCACGCTGCATGGCGTGACCATGACGCTGTGCAGGAGACCCCGCCCACACTGATGCTGTCCGGTCCCTCCCGGGCTGATGGCTCGCTTCCATTCAGACTTTGTGCCAAGTGCTCGTGCCTGAGCATGAGGGGAGCCAGCATGGCCGGGGTGCGCCGTGGGGCCACTGGGAGCTCACGGCACGCTGGGCAGCTGTGCCTCATCAGATGTGGGGTCTGATGGGGGTGGAGGATGCTGGCACCTTCCACACCGAGTGGCACCTGGCCTGGTGGGGGATGGGAGCGTGGGGGCCGGGGGTGGCCAGGGCAGGGCTGGGTCTGTGCGTCCGCTCGGACTGTTTTCCCACCAGACGGCTCACCCTCAGA